TCTAAAGAAATAATCTAGTGTATTTGGAGGGAAAAAACAAGATTTGGAGGCCAAGAACAAGGTTCAAATTATTTGCTATATAATCTTAGAAAAGGGATTTAACTTAACAAAATCTTTAGCTATAAAATGGGTATACTTGGGGCTGGCCCCGTGGCTGAGTGGTTAAGTTCACGTGCTCTGCTGCAGGTAGCCCAGTGTTTTGTTGGTTCGAATCCTGGGCATGGACATGGGACTGCTCATCAAACCACGTTGAGGCAGCATCCCACATGCCACAACTAGAAGGACCCACAACGAAGAATATACAACTATGTACCGGGGGGCTTTGGGGAGAAAAAGGAAAAAAAGAAAATCTTTAAAAAAAATGGGTATATTCATATCATACCCCAAAATTAACTCAAAATGGATCATAGACCTAAATGTAAGAGCTAAAACTATAAAACTCTTGAAAGAAAACACTTGGAAGAAGTAAATCTTCATTATCTTGGGTTAGGCAATGACTTCTTAGAAATGACACCAAAAATGCAAGCAATAAAAGAGAAGTTTGATAAGTTGGACTTCATCAAAAGTAAAAAGTTTTATGCTTTAAATGACACCATCAGTAAGAGAACAGACAAACCACAGAATGGCAAAAAATATTTGCAACTCATATACTTGGTAAAGAACCTATGTCTAGACTATGTAAAGAACACTTACAATTCAATAATAAAAAGACAAATAACCCAACTTAAAAATGGGCAAAGAATCTAAAAAGACATTTCTCCAAAGAAGATATACAAATGCACAATAAGTTCATGAAAAGATGTTCAACATCATCAGTCATTAGAGAAATGCAAATCAAAACCACAATGAGATACCATTTCACACCCACTAAGATGGGTATAATTAAAAACAGACAATAACAAGTATTGGCGAGGACGTAGAGAAATTGGAACCCTCATACATTGCTGGTGGGAAAGTAAAATGGTACAGCCACTTTGGAAAAGTTTGGCAGTTCCTCAAAAGGTTAAATATAGAGTTACTATGTGACTCAGCAATTCCACTCATACATGTATACCCAGGAGAAATGAAAACACATGCCCACACAAAAACTTGCACAGAACATTCATAACAGCATTATTCATAATCGCCAAAAGCAAAAACAATTCAAATGTCAACTGATGACTGGATAAACAAAATGTGGTTAATCCATACAATGAAATAGGGGCCGGCCCCGTGCCCGAGTAGTTAAGTTCACGTGCTATGCTTCGGTGGCCCAGGGCTCACTGGTTCGGATCCTGGGCATGGACCTACACACCACTCATCAGGCCATGCTGTGGTGGCATCCCACACAGAAGAACCAGAATGACCTAGAACTAGGATATCCAACCACGTGCTTGGGCTTTGGGGAGAAAAAAAAAGCAGAAGATTCGCAACAGATGTTAGCTCAGGGCCAATCTTCCTAAAAAAAATGAAAATGTTTTAAAACAATACAATGAAATATTATTCAGCCTTAAAAAGGAATGAAGTACTAGTTCACACTACAACGTGGATGAACCTCAAAAACATTAAGTGAAAGGAGCCAGACAAAAAGACTACACATGTTATGATTCTATTTATATGAAATGTCCAGAATAGGCAAATTCATAGGACAAAAAGTAGATTAGTGGTTGCCAGGGGCTGGGGGTAGTGGGGAATGGAAAGTGACTGATAATGCTTATGGGGTTTCTTCTTGAGACAATGAAAAAGTTTGAAAATTAGATAGTGGTGATGGTTACACAACTCTCTAAATATACTAAAACCTATTGAATTGCACATTTTAAATGGGTGAATTTTAGGTATGTAAATAAAAAGTTTTAAAAAATGGGGGTAGGGGCCAGCACCATGGCCGAGTGGTTAAGTTTGCGTGCTCCATTGCCGTGGCCCAGGGTTTCACCGGTTTGAATCCTGGGTGCGGACATGGCACCACTCATCAAGCCATGCTGGGCGGCATCCCACATGCCACATCTAGAAGGACTCACAACTAAAAATACACAACTATGTACCGGGGGCTTTGAGGAGAAAAAGGAAAACTAAAATCTTTAAAAAATAAAAAATGGGGATAATGTCTACTTCCCAGAACTACTTGAAGAATTTACTGAGATAGCACATATGAGAGACACTTGCTAAATGCTCACTTGTTAATTAGGTGGTACAGAAACCAGGTTAGGACATAAAAGAAATCTCCCCATTTCAAGGACATAAATGGAGATGATAAACTTCACAGGCCTGCATTCCAAATTTCAATGCCAGATCCAATTAGACGGTCCTTCAAGGGATAGAATTATTTTCAGTTAATGGTTTCCCAACTTACTTTATTTGAGGTAGGAATCTGAGAATGAGATAGGGAATTCAGTCTCTGACAAGTTAAGACTCGAAATCCCGCTCAGTTTGAAACTCTATAAAAACAGTTCCACCTTGTATCTACCTTCCCCCCTTCTGGGCCTTTTGCCTTCCCTCCCCTTGCTCTTTGGCCAGAAATAAAAACTCTTCTCTGAAAGGAAGGGTGGGAGAGTTAGCACGATTTGTCTGGGCATGTTAAGATGTCTAGATTCTCTTCACTACACACACTGACATACTTTCGCTTCCCATGCTTGGCTCAGAGCCTAGGAGTTTTTTTCTTTTTCAATGAGTCTGGTAGTTTTATCCAAAGATCCTTTTGATACTGATGGGGATCCCTGGGATCCCTGAAATGTATCTGTCTCTGGTGTTGCTTTCAAAATGTCCTTTAAATAATGGAAAGTGACTGAGAGGACAAACGAGCAGATCCTCGGTAAGATAAATAACCCGGCTACATCTTATCTGAGAAACATCACTTATTTATTTATCACATTCATTATTGCACATCGATTTCAAAAGCAAAATGTGAAAAATATCCCAAAACATCTAATATATCTTATAGGACTCTCAAGGACATATTTTAACTCCTATTTTGGAAAAGGGCTTCCACTCTTTACCTTATATACTTCCTTGTTATTTGAATTTTTTTTAAAACAATGAGAATACTTAATTTGGGTAATAATAGTGATGATAAAACAAACAATGAAAAAGAGAATAAACAAGGAGTCTAAAATGGCCATAGTCTAAGATTAAGTCTTCTATTTATAAACTCTGGATTGTAACTGGAACTCAGAAACTTCATATACAATTCTCTGTACGAAGAAGCTACTACTGAGGACCTGGGAGCAACTGCTAGAACTAAACCAACCATCACTTTCTCAGTAGGGCTAAAAGGAGATGCAGACAAAATTAAAATTTAACTCAAGGGGAATTTAGTTCTCAGACTGTTGTGATGGACGGATAATACATTCATCAGAAATTCCTCCATCAGGCATCAATAAGCATCTGTTGAATAAATGAGCTTATTTAATTCCCCTCTGCTCTGTGCCTAGACTGTATGACAGAGTTGGTGAGAAATTACAAAAGAAATCCAAAATACCAATAAATTAAGCAAAAAGTAAATTGTAACTTTCACATGGAGCCATTCAGGCAGCCTCGAAAAGGAACACTTTAAACACACACACACAGACACACAAACACACACACTCCCCACAATTAAATGGTACTCAAACCACAGCTAAGCACCCCTTGTACTGCAGGACATTTACAAGTGGGCTGGTCGTGTCTGACTGGGAGTCCAGAATGGCTTGGCTCCTGGAGTACTTTAGGCCTGGGCAAATGACATTGGCAACACAGGTGGGAAAATTCAGCTCTTTCCTTTCCTAATGGGAAATTCACCTAAGGCCTTGGCCTTTAAGTGCATGTTACAAACACCAAAAACATCAATTAATTCAAACTTGTTCATCATGGGGAGCTGAGAACAGAAATTACACCTCAACCTCCCATGTTCTTCATCACCAAATTAGCTACTAACTGATTAGCACACCAATTAAAATTACTAAAAACAAACACAAAACCAACAGTTGAGATTTTTATAGCAGACCCTAGAGGCTAATGAGCTCAATGTGTTAATCAGATAAGATGCTTATTCCAAACAGCAACGTTGCCATATTAGAATGACACACACTGCTTCCCGATAACCCCGTCATAAAAAATAAATCAATGAGAAACATCTCCTTGACAGTATTATAGTTTCTAAAGAAAAGTACAGGGTGACTTGTTTTCTGAGACTTATGAATTATCAGCATTTTAGGTTCTTGCTTCATTGATTTTATTTCCGTAAGTACCATTCGTTGTTTCGAGGCTTCCTGAACCCTATCGAGTCCCCACGTCTGCTTCTCACCCTTTTGGGAAGGGTGCCTAATTCTCTATACTCCTTTTCATGAGGCCTCTCGCTAGATTTGGAATCCACAAATTAATGGAGATGGGAAGAACAACAAAGAATGACAAAAGAGAAATAAAATTATTGCAAAAAATGTTTTGATGAAGAAATATTATATATTCTGAGACTCTTTTACTTAAAAGAGAGAGCAAAAGTGCATACTGACAGTAGTCAAGCACATAAGAGGCCAATGTAATGAGAGCTCATGAGCCAGCCATTCTTTGCCTCCTTGAATTAGAGGAAATGGGATTTAATCTACAGAAGGATAAGTAGTCATGTGTCGCTTAACACTGGGGACATGTTCTGAGAAATGTGTTGTTAGGTGATTTCATCATTGTGCGAACATCATAGAGTGTACTTACACAAACCTAGATGGTATAGCGTACTACACACCCAGACTATATGGTACTAATCTTATGGGACCACTGTCATATACGTGGTCCATTGTTAACTAAAATGTCATTATGCAGTGCATGACTTTAAACATAAATAAAGACTTCCTCACCATTATGAGACATTGAAACTCTATAGGGACCCTTTGGGAACCCTCCAGGAATATTATCAGTGTGACTTAAATTGAGTCTTAGCTAGGAGGCAGGAAGATGGACAAAATGACCAGCAGTCCTGTGCCTCTCTGACTTTAGAGACCTTGTGAAAATCTTTGATCCACAGACTCGAAGTCCTTTAACCAGTACCAACTTACCCTGAATAGCAGACAGATATACAAAGGTGTCTTCATGCTCCAAGTTCTCCAAGAATATCTGGAACCACAAAACACAGCAATGATATGATGCACAAAGAACAAGCAAGATTTAAGAGACCCTTATAGCAGCCTCAAAAGAATAAATGCTTTTCTTCTTGTTTATTTTAGCTAGACATTGGTCTGACTTTAGAATCTTGTGGGGAAAACAGTATTTATGTTTTAAGTCTCATTTTTATAATAGTTTTAAAAAAGGGTAGTGATTAGGAGGAGATACTTCTTAAAGTAGTCAAGTATACGCCAGAAGTAAGCATGAAAACCAAAATCTGGAAGAACAATCCTCAATAGTTTTTCTACTACAGCCATGGTGGACAACATTCTCACATATGACATGACAGACTATAGGCCATGACACACAAGAGGGCAGGTTTGGGGTTATTATGGCACATTTGCTATAATTTGATCCTTTTCTCTTGCACTCAGAAATCATGTAGAAATGCAAGCGAGAGACAGAGATGTTATTATTGGGATAACCTTGAATCTGTTCTAACTTATGTTTAAAAATCTTTCGCAAATTTTAGCACTTCAATTGACATTAATAACAGATTACTCTCAACATATCTCACAATTTAGGAAGTCACCAGTGCGTGTCAACTGCAGGGGGTACAGCTAATCTAGAAAATATGACAGTAACATGTTAGGTTTAGGCCCTAGCATGAGGGCCAGAGAAAGATAGTGGCCACGTGCCCATGTTCCTCCTGCTTGGTGTCTAGGGGAAGTCTGGGGTGCTGTTCAGTATGAAAAGGTGTGTCCTTTGCTGGCACAGTGATTCTTGATATCAACTTGATGCTGATGGTCTCCACATCTGCAGTATGTTAGGGAGAGTCTAACATTAGTTCAATTGGGCCAGGTTGAAAGGGGTGGGGATCATGTACGGAGTAAAGGAAGTTTAATCCAGGGTAGTGGCCATGGGAATAAAGAGGAAGAGAGAGATCGAAAGACTTCCTTGGAAGAACTGACAGGACTTGACGACCAATTATGTACAGCAGATGAAAGCTTAAGTTAAATTAAGGAAAATTCCAAAGATGTTCACAGCATTCACCATCCAAATAGATTTATGAAGGGAAATTTTTAATGATTCCTCAGAGGAGATGTATAATTTGAGGTTTTCAGAACATTTCAAAGACAGTAAATTCTTGGCACATTTCTGTGCCTTTGTTTTCTCATCTACAAAATGGGGATAATATGAACATTGCAGTTATTGTGAGGATTAGAGACAATGTCTGAAAGGTATAGGGTTTGGCTCAATATATAGCAGTTATTATCACTATACTATTGGTTCTTAATAATTCAGTGACTAAAAATAAATGTTTTCAATCTGAATTACAACTTTTAGTCCAACGGCTAAAGTATATGGAAGAGATAATAACAATAACAACAACAACCGACCTTTACTGGGTGCTCATTATGTGTCTATCACTATAATTAGTGCTTTACAAGGATTATTTTATTTTAAACCTTTCAATATAAAGTAGGTCCTATTATTATTAGCCTCACTTTACACATGTAAAAATCGAGGCTCAGAAAGTTTAAGTGACTTGTCCAGGAAACTGATCGGGATTTGATCAGGAGTCTCTAGACCCTTTGCTTTTAATCTCTAATCCATACTGCCCTCAGGACAACTTCCACAAAAGGGAAGAGATCCCCAACTAAGTATACATATTCTCCTACATAAATCTACGATGTAAAGAACAGTTTTTTCACTGTGATGGAGGGAGGAGAGGGGAGGAGACCCAGTTCTGCCCAATGTCCCTCTAAAGGGGACGGAGAGAAAACAGATGGCTTAACTGGGCTGGGTCACAGTGCTGAAAGTGGCCCTATTCACCAGAAAGGGACTTTGCCATCTGGGAATTTGCTCATGCTGTTCCATCCCCTTTTCTTTCACCTGTTCAAACTTTACTGGTTTGTTAAGGCCATGTCAAGATCTACTTCCTCCAGATTTCAACTCTGTCCTTTTCCTGACTGTCCACAGCCTTTGTTGCCTGTCAAAATTCTGGCACTCCGTTCATGTTCAGTTGAGTCTCATGTGGTTCTCTAAGTCTTTCCTGTGTCTAAGTCTTGCCTCCTCAGAACAATTACAGTTTCCCTGAGGGGAGTCCAGGACAGTGCCTGACACACAGTCAAGTCTCTGGAGAGCTGCCCCACCCTGCGTGCGTGTCTTTTGCAGGGTGTTCTACTCACCTTGAGAAGCTTCTCTTGCATCTCAAGGGCTTCTGCTTCTCTCTGCTCTATCCAGCGGGAAAGAGTTCGCAGGGCAGCAGCCCGTGTTGGAATTTGAGGATCATAAGCTGACAGAAGAACTTCCTGGAGCTGCTCTGTGGTTATGTTTCTGGATTTCTGGTTTGTAGTGGCGTTGGGCTCACTGACCTCCTGAGGAATGAGTGGAGTATTAGATTTCAGGCCTGTCTGGTTGGATTTCTCATGGCTTTGCTGTTGTTCGAGGTGGCTACGAGAAACACCAGTGGATCTTTCATGACTGGTTTGTCGCTGCCCTTCTGTTTTCCCTTCTGGATCATTTTTGTTCAGGGTACTCTGAGCAGCCACACTGACAGCCTCAGTGGAAAAGGCTCCATGGGTAGAGATGGTGATGCGGAGATCGACAGCAAGTTCTTGGATGACAGGGTCAGGGTATGTGTTGGATACCTTCTCCAACAGAGGCAGCAACTGCTTCAGGACAGCAAAATCAGTTGACTTCAACTACAAAATGAAACAAAAAATGCCAAACCCAAATTAACATAGCAGATGTTAATATGACCTGAGCACAAGGCAACATATCCTGAGCAAAAGCAGCAGGGAGCGAATCTTGTTCCTGGTGTAATCAGCATATAGCTGAGTCCAGCACTCAATAACTACTGTTGAATAATTACAGCTAACATTTATTGAATACTTACCATATACAGGTACTTTTCTAAGTTAAAAAAAATCCCTCAGTAAAGCACATTGTTACTCCTAATTTTTACAGTCTAATGGGCAAAACACATTATCTTACGGTTTTAATTTGCATTACCCAGACTAACAGTGCTATTAAGCATCCTTCCACATTTATTGGCTGTCTGTATTTCTTTTTCTGTGAACAGCCTGTTTATACCCTTTGTACCCACTTAGCTATTAGAGTGTTTGTCTCTACAGCTATTCTTACCATGTAGATTTTAATAGTCATATGGTGAAATTCTTTTCCAGATTATTTTATCTTGACTTTCATTGTATCTTTTTGATGGTATTATTGTATTTTTGACTTTTATGTACCTTTTGCCATAAAACGATAAGTTTATATTAGCAAAGTACTTAGTGCCTGACACATCGTAAGTGCTATGTAAATGTTTTAAAAATAAACACAATAAACAAAAGAATCCACACACATATTTATATCCCTATGATACAATTCAAATATTTTCACATGTCTGCATTTTAAACAGGGGGAAACTGAGGCAGAGAACAGATAAGTAACATATCCAAGGTCACACAACTAAAAGACAGTAAGATGTGAACTCAACAAGTCTGGCTCCAGAGTTCAGTCTTACCCAATACCCTAAATGGTCTCACTTGCACAAATAAAGCTTTTCTTAAGCACATGATCTAAAGTAGCTGGTCAGCATACAAGGGCACCAGAGGTCTGGAAGGGATCGGGACAAAAGTGGCAAAAGAGAATTTCTCCTAGAAAGCGGGAGTGAAAATTACATAAGATTTTATTCTCTCCAGAAGCTTTGTTCCAATAATGCCATATGTCTCACTAGGAAAGACACATGTGTAGTCAGTAGAGAAACAAGAATCAGTGGTAATCCTTTTCTGTTTGGAAATACTTGAAAAATTATCATATGAGGCTTCACGAGGGCCTGACAACTTGAAAACCTTGTGGGTCTTAAATCCTTTTTAGAACAAGAAAGGGTATTTATTACTTACTCATTCACTCACTTCACTATCCAACCAACCAACCAATTAACCAACTGTTTTTGTAGGACCTAGATAATGTTCTCGTTTTACACTATCAGTCCACAGAATTGTTATTATTCAGTTTTCCCACCACTTTCCTCTCAAGTAAATGAAAACTTGAGATATATGTCAGGTTTGTACCTGTAGAATTTCACCATACACTCCCCTCAGATTTCTTTGTTTAAACAATTAGAAACTAATGCAAAATTGACATAAGGTACAATTTCTAGCTCCATAACATATGTCAGCTTATCTTCATGTATAAAACAACTGACCACTCTGATGTTACTATATCTTAAAGGGAAAAAAGAATATGTATGCCTAGAGTGAAGGTATATGTTATCTAAGAAAAGAGTCAATTTTATCGGGAATCTACACAGAACTGGAAAAGACATTTTAGAATAATCTTGCTAGTGTTATCATTATGTTAGACCTCATTCAGTGCCTCTGTAGTATTATGGACCTTTGTTTTTTCTTTAAGCATCTTAAATGGGAATATCTAATTAAATCTACAGTATATGGCTTCTTTTTTATTTCTATTATATACAACAATCTCTTCTCAAAAAACAAACAAAACAAACACAAACAGACCAATGAAAGAGAGAGATCAGAAATAGACTCACATAAATATAGTCAACTGTTCTCTGACAAAGGAGCAAAGGCAATACAACGGAGAAAAGACAGACTTTTCAACAAATGGTGCTGGAAATGGATATTCACATGCAAAAAAATGAATCTAGACATAGACCTTAAACCATCAAAAAAATAACTCAAAATGGATCATCGACCTAAATGTAAAATTCAAAACTAAAAATTCCTACAAGATAACATAGGAGAAAATCTAGATGACCTTGGGTATGCTGATGACTTTTTAAGAGAAAATACCAAAGAAAAGAAATCCATGAAAGAAATGATAAGCTGGACTGCATTAAACTCAAAACTTTCTGCTCTGCAAAAGACAATGTCAAGAGAAAAAGAAGACAAGTCACAGACTGGGAGAAAATATTTGCAAAAGACATATCTGATAAAGGACAATTATCCAAAATATACAAAGAACTCTCAAAACTCAACAATAAGAAAAATAATCCGATTAAAAAATGGGCAAAAGACCTAAACAGACAACTCACTGAAGAAGATATACAGATATACAGCATATGAAGAGATGCTCAACATCAAATGTCATTGGGGAATTGCAAATTGAAACAACAATGAGATACAATTACACACCTATTAGAATGACTAAAATCCAAAACACTGACAACACCAAATGCTGGTGAGGATGTGGAGGAACAGGAACTCTCATTCATCGCTATTGGGAATGCAAAATGGTACAGACACTTTTGCAAGACAGTTTGGCAGTTTCTTATAAAACTAAACATACTCTCTTTCCATACCCTCCAGCAACTGAGTTCCTTGGTATTTACCCAAATGAGTTAAAAACTTATGTTCACACAAAAACCTGCACACGGATGTTTATAGCAGCTTTATTCATAATTGCAAAACTTGGAAGCATCCAAGATATCCTCTAGTAGGTGAATGGATAAATAAACTGTGGGACATCCAGACAACACTATTATTCAGCACTAAAAAGAAATGAGCTATCAAACCACAAAAGACATGGAGGAAACTTAAATGCATATTACTAAGTGAAAGAAGCAAGTCAGGAAAGACTACATAGTATATGTAGTCTTATATAGTATAGTCCAACTATATAACATTCTGGAAAAGGCAAAACTATGGAGACAGTAAAAAGATCAGTGGTTACCAGAGGTTGGGGTAGGGAGGGATGAATAGGCAGAGCACAGAGGATTTTTGAAGCAGTGAAACTATCATGTATGATACTATAATGGTGGATACCCTTATACATTTGTCAAAACCCACAGAGTGTACAACACCAAGAGTGAAGCGTAAACTACAGACTTTGGGTGATAATGATGGGTAATGTAGGTTCATTGATTGCAACAAGTGTACCACTCTGGTGGGGGATGTTGATAGTGGGGGAGACTGTGCATATGTGGGGGTAGAGGGTATAGGGGAAATCTCATTACCTCCTGTTCAATTTAGCTGTGTAACTAACACCACTCTAAAAAATAATATCTATTTAAGAAAAAAGAATACTCGACTATCTTTTTGCTCTGTTTTCAAACTTAGTTGTCACTGTGGGATTCATCTTATTCAACTGGGTAACTTCTCTAATCACCGTGGGCAGGTAGGTGGATTCTGAATCAAATAGTTTATAAGGCAATTACAGTTATGCACATTTTCAGCTTCATAAGCCTACAGATTTCCCACTATGAGAATAACCAGGGAAATCTAAGATTACAGGTGCCAACTATTGTTCATAAATATTCAAAAGTCTTTGAGGTATAAAGTAATATTCACCTAACTGGCAGATGAGAAAAGTGAAGTACTAAGTAGTTAATTATTTTTCAAAGGGTCACTGAGGGCCACTATCAAAATTGAGAACTGACAACAAAGCCCTCATTTCTACTCCTGTCTTGCTTCTCAGCACACCTCTCATATCCAGATCTCAGAATTCTGTGTAAAAACCTCCAGGCCTGAATGAGAAGCCCACAAGTGAGTGACAGATTCCTTTATGTGGCTGCCTCCTTCCTGAGTTTTTGGAATGCTTCAGGAACGGAATGAGCAGAGCTATGTCAGCCCATATCTACGATTTCTTTCAGGGTGTCAGGAGTGATCCAGTTAGATGGTGGGTTATTCTAAATTTCTGCAAGTTTTTGAATTTAAGAACTGGGGTTGGACGGGTAGGAGTGGGATTGAGGGTGGTGGGTGGTAGCAGAGAGCATGCCTTCTAAGGGAAGCACATCAGAACCTGGGTGACAGCCAGGGAAGGGCATGTGCACACTGAAAGAGCCCATACGAGACTTCAGGAAGCTCCCCTGTGGGGCATACATACCCTCATCCTGTCTTACTCTTCCTGTTCCAGTGGGAATTGCTATTTTAGAAGAATCCAAGGATCTCTTCTAGCAATAAAATGCTGACCTTAATATTACTAATTCTGAAAATATTTACATTTATTCCTTGTGTTCTCATTTCTGTATATCACCTGTTTCTTCAGATATTTAGGTGACCAGTTTATATGTCAGAGTACTTATTTACATAATGTCATTGAAGTTATTTTCCAGTGGTACTTTTACTTTTTCTCTAAGTCAGCATGCAGTAGGCCCCGTTTTATGGTAAGCTATACATAAAGATACACATAAGATACAAAAATATGAATCTTTTAAAAAAGTAGTTAAGAATTCATCAGATTAATCACAGCCTCCTAAAAAGGTAAGCTCCAGAAAGGCAGAGAGGCACTTGATAAATATTTCTTGAATGAGTTCATTCAAAGATACTCTCAGAAAATATGGTACAAGAGCTCTAGATTTGGGTTCAGGTCCAAGCCCCACCACCTGTGCCTCAAAGTTCAGGTCACCTTGGTGCAGCAACGCTTTAGAGGACCTCACAGGCCCTGGAACATCAAGCAGAAACTGGTTCCTGAGGGAACAGGGAAGTTACCAACATCATACTTTTACTGATGACCAAGCCTGAAATTTAGAAAATGAGTTTGGAATTACAGTTGTCTTGTTAGCAGTCTTAAGCCTACACTTTCTCCAAATTAACTCCTCTTCCCACACACTATGTTCTAATAATCACCTTAATTACACAAATTAGAAATGAAAGAAAGAATGGTTCAAATGCTTTTAGATTCTGTTTCATTAGCCAAAACAATGAATCCTGATCAGGGATAAGTACAGTGTATTCTTCTAGACTCTGAAGCCAAAACCCTAGCCTGACAATGACCATCTGAAAACATAATTCAGAATAATTATTTTTTTTCTAATAACAAAGACAGAAAGCTCGGCATTACTATAGAAGTCACTTATAAATCCATGAAACAAACAGAAAAAAATTAATGGATCTAGGGCAAAGGTATAGGGGTGACATGCATATGTTCACTTAACTAAGTGCAGAGTCAGAGGAATCCAGGATGTAATCAGTGAGTCAGGATGGCTCATGGAAGGGTTGGGACAGGTAAGGGATGTACATTTGCATCAGTCCACACAGTTTCTGTGTTCTATTTTCCATTTGGGATGTGATTTGAAATTATAAGAAAAGCAAAAAACACGCTCAACTTATGGAAACAAAGACATTCAAATTAATAGTCAACTAGAAAAACAAAAATCAATCAGGCCAACTAAATTCAACAATAATACAATTTAAGAAAAACTATTCTATCAGTGAACCCCTCCTTGACAGTTCTCTTAGGACTGTCTGTTAGAACAGCAGGGATGTAACATGTCTCTAGAAACTGAACCAAAAATGCTTTTTCAAACTATACGGGAAAAATAAAAGTAGGAAGGCTAAGTAAATCTACCAAGAAACAGGCTTCACATTAACAACAGGCCCAAATAAAATTCCTTTTCTCCTTAAAGACAGGCTAAAGAGAGGCAAATTCTAACATATCAAGAATTAGGATCAGATTTGAATCCTCAAACTCAAAAATCCATTCCCAGAGGGTTCTCGACTCATTGCTAAGAGTTCTACCAGTCTGATTTCAGGTTGGATTTCATAATACTTGCTCGAAGCCTATGCTGCCTTCCTGAAGCCTCCTAACCTAATGTGGTTTGTACTTAACCAGACAGGTACACGTGCCTACCTTTCCACCTTGTCCGGCTCTACTCTGACCCTTGGTCTCTACAGTTCAGCTATACTGGCCTTCTATCAGTGTTTCAAGTATACCAAGCTCCTTCCTGCTTCCCAGCCTTTGTACATGATGTTTTCTTTAATTGGAAGAGCTTCCTCCATCTGTACCACACACACTCCCACACTCCTATTCATCATTCAAGTCTTAGCTTAAACTTACACTTCCTCATAAAAATCGTCCCAGCCTAGGCTGGATGTTACGTTCTCTTGGTACCCTCCACTTCTCTTCTGAGGCACTTCATTCAATTCCAAGTATATTTTTTGAATAGTTATTTGGTGCCTCACTCTCTCATTGGCTATAAACTTCACGAGGGTAGGCACCAAGTCTACTTTGTCCACTCCTGTATACCCAGCACCTTGCTTAGTATCTGGCACATAGCAAGTATGCAATGATTTTTGAGTGAATAAATTAAAAAATTGTAACTTAAGCATATAAGATACATGCACTGGAAACAAAGTTTTAACATGCTACATGAGATGAGTTGCAAGATGGATCCTGTGCTAAAAAGGAACTATACAAAACAGATGGAATCATAGAATCCTAAGAAACCAGCAGGTTACAAATGATTTCCACTGACTACCACAGCAGGGACAAGGGCTGAGCTTTGGAGAACCATTACAGTGAGGGTCAGAGAATCTAGCATTTCCCACAATGCAAACCACTGTGTTAGGTGTTTCCAAATCAAGTTTTTGCCAGGTCAGAAAGGGCCCTGTCCTTCGGATGGTAAACTCTACACAGGTGACAAGATAGAAATGGTACCATTTTCTTGTCCTTTACTTTGGAGAAAATTCTCAATAACAACCTAACTTGTTTATCCTGGTTCTCTTATGTGCAATATTCATTCTTATTTCTCACAAGGGTATGGAAGGGAAGCAACAGGTTTTCTCTTTTCTTTTCCCTCCATTCAAGTTTAGCTCACGTCTGCAACTCACCTGAACAGCTCCTCCCAGCATGACAGCCACCAGCCCCATGGACATGCTCAGTGTCTGCGATTCCACGGTGCTCTCTGCCTGGTGGGCCAAGCTTGCACATGCTCGCTGCAGTGTTGCTGCTACAAAGTCCACCACCTACCTCAGAAATGGAATTTAGAATCAGTGAGGAGTAAGAAAAAAAGTCTCAAAGTTCTCCTTACATCTTATGTCTATATCTTTATCTTTTTCCACATCAACATCATGATAGCAAGAACCTTCAAGAACAACTGCTACTGTGCAGCAGGCATGGTGCTCAGTGTCTTACGTGCACAATCTCACTTAGGTCTCATATGAACTCTAGGAGGTTGGGAATCTTACCCTTATTTTGAGATGAAGAATCTGAGACTTAAAGAGGTTATCGGCTCAAGGCTATGCAGTCAATAAACGAGAAAGCCCGTTTATACTTTCCCAAATGCTTTAATATACTAACCCAACTTCCTTCACTTTTCATGAGTTTTGCCAGGAAATTAAAGTGAAAAATGATTTGTTACTTTCAACCATCTTAGAGGGTCCTAGATTGGCTTCTCATAATGAGATTTCCTCCTCAAGGATTCCTCCCCCACTATCCTCATTTTGACAGTCTAATTCTAGTAAGCAAAGAACGGGGGAAGAGGCGTTCAATTTTATTTAGAAGCCAGTGTCCTCAAACAATCTGTACAAATGATTTTTTTGTCATTTTTCTAAGTATCAGATATTTTTAAAGGATTAAGATTAACCATATATAAGATTTTACACAGTATTTGGCTAACCACTAAGCCTTAAATGGAATCAATTTGGTCAGCATCATTTTAACTGCGCATGGATTAATCACCTTAAGTAGAAACACTTTTCAATAAAAGACAGCGTATACATACACAAGTGCTACACAGACACACACATACGTGCATATTTAGGATTAATGGTTCAAAAGGGAAAAATCATTTTGAAGAAGAGATGGCTGAGAGAGGTCATGATGAGCCTCTAAACACTATGCCAGCTTGCCTGTTTAACTCTCTGGGCAAATCACACGCTATGCTAGAATCTTTAGAATCTGGAAGCTTTAAGTCAGGAGAATGGTATGTTAATTGCCTTTGGAGTAAGGCAGAAAACTAGAAAGGTTATTAAAAGTTCCACTTACTGAAGGAACAGTGCTGGTTATGGCAATTTTCAACACCCTCTCTAGCCTAAGACTTTATTGATACTAGAAGTTAAGGACACTGGCCCTTTCTAGAGAAACTGCTGCACCTACCATCTTGGGCCACCTACTTGGTCTCCAAAGAGTTTTCTAAAGCACTCCTTGTTTATAGGAAGCTTCTATTTCAGCACAAGTATTGTTAAATTACTGGAATAGAACTACCTAGCCTTCTGACTTTTTCTAAGTTCCTCTCCACAACATATACATATATTTTAAATGTTGCAAAACAAGTAGTATGATCCTATTTTTGTTAAGAAAGAAACTTTCCACGTTCCTATATATTTTTAAAAAACCCTGGGAGCTGTTATCTGTGGTGTGGTAGCCAGCTGTTACTGTCATCTAGGAAGCACCCTTTCCCCCAAACTTTCTTCTTGTAACAACAAAGACACCATACCCTTTTGGACAAAAGCTCCCCTCCCCCTACTATTCATTTCCTGTGATTCTCACGGGGCTGCCAGCCACAAGGATAGGTATGTGACTGTTGCCTGTTCTAGAATTTATGTATGTTACAGAGAGGGAGTAGCGATGTTTACTTTTTACTTAAAATTTTTTGTAAAGATACATAATTCTAAAAGTGAAATATTCTTGCAAGTTTATAATGAAAACTACAGTGCCCTACCCCATTTCTCCCCATCTGATTCTGGCTCTACAGAGGCAACCACTTTTAATTATTTAGCTGATTAATTTGATAATAACATTATGCATTTACTATTTACCAGGTACTGTTCTGAACACATTGCAGGTATTTTTATTTATTTATTTATTTATTTATTTTTTTGAGGAAGATTAGCCCTGAGCTAACTGCTGCCAATCCTCCTCTTTTTGCTGAGGAAGACTGGCCCTGAGCTAACATCCTCTACTTTATATGTGGGACGCGTACCACAGCATGGTGTGCCAAGTGGTGCCATGTCCACACCTGGATCCAAACCGGCAAACCCTGGGCCGCCAAAGTGGAATGTGAGCACTTAACTGCCGTGCCACCGGGCTGGCCCCACATTACAGGTATTAATTCACTTAATCTTCACAATAATCCTATGGGGATGTATAAACCTGCTGCCAACATTCTGGCAACTGAGTGGATGGGGGTGGAGGCCTCACTGTTGAATATGCAGGCACCAACTTAAGTCTACAGCATTTCAGTTTGCTACTACCACCCAAGTTCAGAGGCTCTTGGGTTCACCCTCTCTCAAGGATAAACCTCTAGTGTTTTCTGGGAAGGGGAGGTGGCTGTACAAAGTTGAAGAGGGAATCAAAGGGTCCACTGGATCTCGCAGAGCCTTTCAACCTACGTTAAGCTCTAAATTCAGCTCCATCTTTAGGGCTTATCTAGTGCCTCCAGGTCCTTCCACGGTTCTGCAGTGAGAAGCAACTTGCTTCTTTTTTTCTTTTCAAAAAAATTTTTAACAGCTTTATTGAGGTATAGTGCTTTGCTTCCTGACTTCTCCCATGTAGGCACTTAGCATTTCCGTTTTCTGAAGTTGCTAAATCAGCTATTACTATCCAGTTTCTAAATGTTGTTATTCTCTTTTATCTACTATTTTCTCTTGCTCTGTTGGTCCCTATGGTTTCTGGAAGGAACAGATAAACACACGTGTCCGATATACCATCTTTAATCAGAAGTCTCTACTTTTTAAATTTTGAACTTCTATGTTGTTTAAACGTTTTTACAATGGGCATGTGTTACTTACATTAAAAAAAATTTTAGTGTAGGAAAAAACACCCCACCATTATAGAACCACTTCTACTCTGCCAATGATAGTCGTCCCTCGGTATGAGAGGGTAAGAGATTGCTTCCAGGACCCCCCCGCGGATACCAAAATCCAAGGATCCTCAAATCCCTTATATAAAATGGCACAGTATTTGCATATAACTTACACATATCTTCCCATATACTTTAAATCATCTCTAGATTACTTGTAACACCTAATACAATGTAAATGCTATGTAAATACTACTGATATGCCATCTGCCAACATACTTTATTGAATTTTTAATCTTTCATCCATAAATACTTCAATATGCATTTCTAACAAATAAGGAGATTTGTTTTTACATAACTACCATACTAGGATCACACTCAATAAAGATTCCCTATATCTTCTAATACCTGGTTGCAAAAATGTCTTCATACAATTGGTTTGTTTGAATCAGGATCCACACATTGCATTTGGTTGATGTCTCTGAAGTTCCTTTTAAGCTACAACAGCCCTGCCACTTTTCTATGCCACTCATTTAATGAAGAAACTAGATCATTTGTACAATGGAATTTCCCACATTTTGGATTTGGCCAATGGCTTCCTCATGGCATTAACTTGCTCCTCTAATCCTGAGTTTCCTTGATTAGATTCAGGTTCACGTTTTGGGTTTGTTTTTGTGTTTCAATCCATTGCAGGTATTATCCTTTTTAATGCTCAAACTGTCCTATCTATGGCCAGCCAATAGGAGACCCTTCAAATTGCCTCCTGAGTGGTACTGACACGACCCAATTAATCTCACATAACTTCCTTGCATTCAGGCACAACAAGATGCCCTGAGGCTTATAGTGTATAATTCCTGCCCCAGACCTGAACTACCCTTTAATCCAATGAGCTTTGTGTTCTTTTAGTAGGAAGTGGAATTTAGAAACTATAATCTGGCACTAAGGATGCCTATTGCTACTAGGTTGTCATTGCTTCTTGGCATTGACAGTGGACCGAGCTAGGAAACACCTATTTTTTAAAAAGAGAAAAATACATCATTAGTTCACACTAACACTCCCCATTGAAATTCAATATTATAGAGTTTTTACTCAAGTTCTTTGATTTTATATTTCTAACTCTTTTTCTTATGCTGAAAATCTTGATTCCTAATGATATTAACAAAATTACTTATAATTTATCCTCATGTGTGTATGTTTCAAAAAACATATTAAAATTATCACTAGCACTAAGACTACTAAATGCAATTTAATATTTCTTTGTGGTTTCTTTTGTCCTGATAAATTTTAACCTTAGCTGAAGGATAATTTAATGGGACAAATCACTTTTGCATCAGCCTAACACCATTGTTCCTTAATTAGGAGTAAAGGGAGATAAGTGCAAAAGCTTAAGTCATATCAGCTTTTAGACCAGTTCCCCTTTTAACCAGCATCCTGAGACAAAAACACAAGGTCTGGGTGAAAAAGTCTTTAGGGAATGATATAAACACAGGAGAAACAAATCACCCTACTGAGTAACACAGGGTCAGTGAACTGAAGGAATAAGAGCCCAGGAAAGAAATCATGAACATAATTCTCATTAAACAGGCACGATAAGTCAGAGCCGACAGGCAGCTGCAAATTTTCGCAGCAGGAGCTACAGTGAAATGCTGCTTAGCAACACCCGAAGGCAGATGACAATGGGGATGATACAAAGAGCTAGAGAATCAGATTTAAGCGTGACAATCATACCATCTTACAACTGACTATTCACCAACCAAGCAACAACTAATTTTGGTAAAGTGGTAAAATATGGCGACTTCATTGCCTATGCTTTATTACATTTATTTCCTATTAAAGAAAAAGCTGATAAAAATAATGTCTGAACCAACAAAATTCAGGCACTGATTCACATAGTTACTCTATTCTGAAAGCATTTTAAAAAACATTTTAAAACTTCACAGCCTGTTGTGGAGACAAGCTGTGAATCAGAGGACCTATAAAATTCAAGGTGATCTTATTATCATTAGTGATTTTTTTCAAATTTGAATTTCTAACCATTCTCAACTTTTGACGCACATTAGAATCATCCATAAAGCTCCAGAAAATGCAAATGCCCAGGCTCTAATGCAGACATGCTGAATCAGAAACTCTAAAAGTGGACCGGGCATCACTATTTTGAAAAAGACCCCAGATGGTTTTATTTGCACCAAAAGTTTAAAATCATTGTGATATAACATAAAATATTTAAAATAGTTCTCAAAGTTTGACGTGCATGAGAATCACCTCAGGAGCTTATTGCACATGCGGATCCCCAGGACCTATGAAGAAAGTGTTGATTCTCTTGGTCTGGTGTGGGCTCAGTAATGTGCATGTTTAACCACCATTTCAGGTAACACTGATGCAGGTGTCATCAAAGCACACTCTGAGTAACACTTCTTGAACGTTTTTTAAAAATAATGTAAAGAAACCAAAAGAGACAAATACCCCGAGGCTGGGATCTGGAACGTGGCAGCCACTGACCTGAGCGATGTTCGTGAATATCTGCTCAGACATTCTCTCACACAGGACAGCCACCAGCTGGAGGACCAGCAGCTTCTGCTCCTGGCCTTCCACAAGAAGAGTGTGGTGCTGCGCTAGTTCCAAGAGGCTTTTGCTGGAGAAAGGCTCCATTTTAAACTCTGCTTCATTTTCCTCAGCCACATGTGTCAATTCCTATCAGCATGGGAGAAAAGAAATAGTGAAGAAAAAGCCTGTAGAACTAAGGCTTCAAAACCAGCTAGAAAACTATTTGAAAATTTAAAACTTCATAATAAAAAAATACACACACACATAGAACTAGTTTGACAGACAACTTACTTTATCAGTGCTTTTACGATCTCTGCCACAAGCCTTCCTTGAACTGAGGCCATATAACATTTCCAAAGCCTTTTAAGAGACTTAGATGCTTTAAGTACCACAGCCCTCCTTCCCTAAGATATTTAGAACTAAACTTCTACTAATAAGTAATTTATTACTGTGGGTTTTGTAGGCTTTCTCCCTACCCTTCACATTGTCAATTTCCTTGGGAAGGGAAAATGTTAAGTTACTTAACAATTAATGTGTTACCAAAGTAACTGATAGTTTAGAGCAGTGGTTCCCAAATGTGCCTGGGCAATTTTGCTTCCCAGGGGGCATTTAGCAGCGTCTGGGGACATTTTAGCTTATCATAATTGGGGGCTGATACAGGCCTCTAGTGGTTAGAGGTCAGGGATGCTGCTAAACATCCTGTAACGCGTAGGAAGCTCCCCCACTGCCCAACGAAAAATTACCCAGCTCAAAATGTCAAAGTGCCAAGGTGGAGAGATCTTGGTTTAAAGCAAAGCCCTTTGATCTTTTGTTTTTTAAACAAACTTTTAAAAAATTATCCGATTAAGAGCATATCTTCTTGGAATGTTATTTACAATGAGTGGCTGGGCAGGGTGATGGAGGTGGGAGGTGAGAAAGCATCAAAAAGTACTCCCTACTTCAAATTCTAGAAGTGCTAGCTCTGATACCCTCCTTGCATTCTCCCTCACCCACACCAACCTTAAACTCCACAGACATTCTCTTACACACTTTATTTAGAGAAAATAATGGGGAAGGCAGAGCTGGAGGACAGGGAATCAGAGATCATCTGGTTTACGGTCTCAAACAGTGCAAATAAAGAGTAACAGTACGGGGTACAATTTACTGTCAAGATTAGGGCAAAAGGAAGCACAACCACCAGCAGTATGAAACAAACCCGGAAAAGGTTTCAAGTGGCTACAAGATGAAGTGAGAGAGGCAGGACTGGCTAAATCTCCTTTCCAAATACCTGACAAAACAACAGTCAGAAAGGATAAGGGATTACTCCATAGCTGTAAAACCTGCTATTAACTTCAAAAGAGTTCTTACTGTCAACACAGAGCAAAGATTAACCCTTTCATAGATCACTCCTTCTGCTTTGGTCATCTTTAAAATTTCAGTGGAGATTATGTTGGAAAGTAGTTTGACCATATGTGTATTGCTGAAGGTAAGTTTCTTTTTACCAAAACAAATGCTACTAAAAAGTAAATTACTCTTATGTCCTCTGATTACGTCTCCTAAATTAGCACCTAATTTTAGGACCTAAAATTATGACTGCCTTGAAAATTCAAAGGGGCTCCTGGTACTACCCCAGAATAAAGCTGACCCTGAACTACATGTAGTTCTTACCTTCAAGCAGAAGATGAAGAAGTCGCCCGCCAAACCACATTCCTGGCAGAGGGACAGCAAGTCCCCGAGATGCTCTACCTGCCACTGCTCTGAAGACACCTTTTGATACAGGGCTTCATCTTCATCTTCATCACTGCAATGCAGGGTAACATTTATCTTGGTAAGTTTTATCACCCAGAAACATTATTTTTCTGAAATCCCACTAATAATCTTCTAAAGTAATATGTTATTTCCACACAGCAAATCATTAGAAAGATCTCGAAATTTTGTTTAAATTATCTTCCTTCTCTCTACATTGAAAAAGTATTTATTCTCAGAAGCTAGGCTATCATGTCCTGCATAGTCATTTGCTCAGATGGGGAAAAACCTTCACGAAGAAAGAGGCTTTTAAGATGGATGTTTAGGAATTACTATTATTTCAGTAAGTTGTAAAAACAAGAAGGAATCAAAGCATACATTGTATGCAGATGTTTGGGTTCCTGAAGAAGAACAGAGAAAGAGAAGGCTGCAAAGCAAGGCCAGATTACAGAGGGCCATGGATGCCATGGGAAGGAATTTGGACTTTTTTTCAACGAGCCACTGAAGGGTTATGGACAGTGGAAAAAGACATGATATTTGTAGGAGGAGATTCAGTCAATCTCAACTAATAAGAACCAATTAGTTGAGTTACAAAAATGCTTACAGCTTCAGAAAACTGAATAACCCAATTTCCAAGTAATAAAATGTGGCTAAATTATTGAAAACAGTGCTATGATTTCTGCAAAAAGTTTCAAGAAACTTCTCATAAGGTACTAAGACTTTTAGCTATAATTCCAAGATACAATATTATTATACTATATCATGTAAACAAATACAAAGATACAGGTGATGTACTAGAAAACAAAACATTAAAATAATGTAAACAGTGATCAAGATAGTGGTTGATTTTCGTTTTCTTCCTTATTTTTTTTGTATTATACAAAGAACGTGTATTACTTTTTGATCAAGGAAAGAATAAAATTTTTTTCAGACTAAATTGAGAAAAAAATGAAAGATCTTGCTTCATCTTATTGAAAAGTACAATTATTAAAGTTAATTTGACAGACTATCTCATTGGGCAGAATGTCCCAATTTGCCAGTTCACTAACAACATAGCCTTTATACTCCTCTAGTAGAATAAATAACCTATTAAACTAAGCTTAGGAGTACTTCCTATATTATCCCAGAATCGTCCAGAGTCCTTCAGATAAGTCATGTTATCTCCATCATATTTTATGTTAGAAGAAAAGCTGAAATGGATAAACGTCACTTCTAGCTTCTGCGAACCATCCTGACTGTCAAAACGAAGTACTGTATTAAAATACTCTTTAAAAAAAGACATGACAACAATTACTTAAGATACAATATTTTATTCATTCTTAAAATTTCAATGATAAAGAGTCAACTGCAAATAGGTATATTTAGTTCTGGAAAAGTAAAAATTCTAGATCCAAAGATCGTGAAATCTGAGAGGCTCTTTTAGAGTTTCTCTAAATGAGCCTTTTATTGATAACCAGTGCTGCTGGTCAGAATGGTAGAGTGAAGGCAAGTGGTGATACAGACCAAGCGGCAATACTGACCCTGCCACTGGGGGACTAGCACCATGAGCAGGATCTTTAGAACAAATCATAAATCACACACACACACACACACACACACACATTTCTTTGGTATAGTAAGTGTCAACTTTTTGGAAACATGGAGTGTTTTAAGTATCTAGTGAGTCACAGATCCAATTTTTAGAAAAAAATCCATGTTTGCATATAGAAAAACTTCTCAGGTATAATTTCAAGGGGATTATACACCCCTAGATGTCCATGTAGAGACCTCAGGTTAAGGAGCCATTGCTTCCTGGAGTGAATGGAGATGCATTCAGTCACTGCTTATTCACTTTTTCCTACCATGAAGAGAAATTATAGTTTCAATAAGAAGTGTTGATTTCGACATACATGTGCTAAAAAGTGCACGAAAGCCTTGTTAAGCTAGCAGTAAGTTTTAACTCCTGGTAAGTTAAATACTGTAAAATTCTCTATATAGTCACTAAAACGGTCCCAGGTTAAACTGTTCCAAAGCGTTTTTGAAATAAACATGCCCCCCAATTTTAAGCTTTTTCAGCTCAGGGGCATAGTTATAACCAGAAAACCTACTAATGCTCAAGAACACGCAGTAAATTAGTAGCTTGAGTTTGTGCTGATAATTCTGTTTGTAATCAATGTGTTTTTTCTATTTTCCTCAAGTCCATCACATTGAAAGAGTATTTTAAAACTTTAACAAGTTAACCATGAATTAAAAAATTAAATTTAAATACTTTAACAAACAGCAGTGCTTTGAATGTGATGTGAAATCTAAGTAGAGCAGCTGCCACCAGTTAAATACTACGGACTCTGATCAACAAGAACTTCATTCTTGTAAGAGGTAATAACATCTACACATATCACCCAGAAAGTGGAAATAATTTAAAATACACTTGTGAGAAGTTGGAGAAATAAATTATCCATTCCACTCTCATTTATTAAGCACCTTCTAATCAATCCTTAGGAGAAACAAACCCTCATCATAAAATTGCCATAAAAAAATAGCTATCAGACAATTTCCCTTAGGAATACATCTGACTCTGAACACACATATGTCATTTTGAGAGTCAGAAAGAGAACTGGATTGTTATGGTGTTATGGTGAACATGCGTCTGCCCATTACTCTGATTCACTGGCAAAGACTTTGTGAACTAGGTGGGCTTGTTGTGATGCAGAGCTGTGAGGCTCCAGTAAACTGTACCTACTATTAACTAGCATCTAGGAAAAACCTGGAGAATTAAGGCTCACATTTCACTCAGAGATTATAAATAGCAGCCCCTCAGCCACTTGAGTTTCTGGTTTCCTTTCTATCAGCGCCCCTTAGTGGACAGACACAGAATGGCCTTTGGGGCACAATTAAATCTGAAGAGAGGCAGTAAAGGATGGGTGGACTCACCAAATGGGCTCTTTGATGGTAACCATAACGCCACCTTGAGTGGCAGCTCTAAAGTGACACAGAGAATGGAGAGAGGGCATAGACTTGTCCAACCCTGCAAATCCTTTCAGGCTAGCAATCGCCTTCTTCCTCTCCAGCTTCCCCAGAATCCACAATAAGATCTCTTCGCAAAGTGACCTGGCAGAAAAAGCAGTTATAAATGAGCTTGCCATCTTAGTCATCTAACCAGCTCACATTAAAAAAAGAAAGAAAGAAAGGCTATCAGGTTCCACTACATTCTAAATGCTGGCACAACCACCTAGCACTACTGAAATTCAGGAGTGGAAAGTATGCTTTTTGTGAATTTTAGAATGTAAACGTCCTGATATTCAAAGAGTGACTGACTAATCTTTGGCTCTAGAAGCAACCCTGATATGACACATGAGCCCCACATGATTTTCTTTCTTTTTTTTGGAATTCCAAGCGTACCCACTGCCTTTGGATCAGGCACTGTGAAAGAAAGTTTACACTGATAAACCCATATACTATCAATGGGACCAACAGCTGGTGACCAAGAATCAGCATGAGGATGCTAATTCCTCATCCCCTTTTATCTGTGCCAATCAACTAGGAGAGGAATGAAATAAAAGTTTGCTTCTTCCTTCTCAGTCTCTGATGAGGTCATGATAATGTATGAGGTCTTGGGTTTCAAAACTAAAACAGGAGTTATTATATGGTCAGTCCTTTGAAGCCAAATTCACACATTTATAGTCTCCATCTTCCACTGCCTTTTCTCTTGTCACTTTCGTTATGGCTGTGGTCTACAACGATGTGCTGACCAAAAGTTAGAGAGTTGAAGGCAGTATGTAAGCTTTGAATAACATGCAAGACTGAGCACTTTTCTTTACCACTCATGATAATGATAATGATAATGATGATAGCTACCCTTTACTGAGCTTCCTATTTGCCAGGGACAGTGCTAAACACTTCAATGCACAGTTAGTCTTCATAATAACCCTACGAGGAAGGTGCTATTATTGTATATCAGATTACACGTAGGAGACTTCCAAACACCAAATGTCAGAATTCTGCAGGACTTTAGAAATGATATAAACTCTTATAAGGAGGAAGAAACAACATAAATAGCTGTGAAAATAGAGCTGATACAAAATGAGTCCTACTTAAATTCCAACACAAAAGATTATTTTCTGGATGACTAAGAAATCCCTTTATTTTAAACAACACTGTGTAGCACCTACACCAAGTCCAAGTCTAAATTACAGAGTGCTACATTCAGATCCAGATTTCCTGAACTTGATTTCTAACTCCCCGCAAGGTAGTTATGATCCAGCCTCTATTTCCTCCTTCCTAGACCTGTAATTCCAGTATTTCTCACTGATCAAACAGTGGCATGTTTACACATGTAAACAGAAATTTTGTCTCTGATGTCTAGGACAGAGTTTGAGGAAAGTCATTCTAAAAACTACATCCAATCCCCTGCAATTTGCAAAACTCTCTTTGTTTTCTAGATGAGCAGAGTAAGAGGATTCTCAAGTGTTTTCCTGCCTTTGAAAGAAAAAAACAATTACAAAGTGGCATAAGTCATATTCAAAATAAGCACAAGAACAACATGCAAAAAAGACTTCCCTGTTCATAAATAAATAGGGTTCTCTGTATGGTTTACCTTATGTGAGACACACTCTGCCTGGTAAAACAGTAGAGAGAAAAGAGGACTCCTAGGACTGGAAGCAGGGAATCCACCAAAACTGCTGAAGGTTCATTCCCGACCACATACACCTGGGGTAAAGGAAATGGTGAGAGGGACTATGACCACAAGGCCAGAGGACTGGGAATCAGACACCGTACTTAGTAGCAGGGCTTAGAGTCTTATCTTAAGCAACATTTGCCTTATCTAAGGCAAACAATTTCAGCTCTAAGGCCAATGAAACCATTTGAGATTGGCAGACAAGTTGAAACACAGGCAGACTGAACTGGAGCAGTGCCTTTCGTGTGGGCAGCCTGAAGAACTGCCAGGTGAAATCCGTAAATGAATCCATTTTCTGACCCCTTCCTTTCCTACTTTTGACTACCTCTGAGTCTCCTAATCTGTCTATTATTCATCTGTACAATAACTATCTTACTGCTGAAGGCTCTGCTATTAGGAACTAATAAGCAATTACCACCAAATAGAAAAGCTTAAAACTGTATTTGGAGAAAAAAACAAAAACAAACAACCCAAAACATAGCTTGCTCTAGATTTGTCACTCTTAAGATGTAACTGCCACATGGGCATGTCCTATTTTCTCCAGCTCAATAAATGTTCAAAGAAATTACACTGTGCACCTAGATCTGCACTGGTTTCACAGTGTTAAGCGAGTGAGGATGATGATTTTTATTAACAATAATTATTTTATATATTTTTAGTTGTATCTTTCAAAAAGGATTCAATAAACTTGTTTGAATACCAACTGGGATCAAATACTGCCCTAGGCACTGTAGTGAATATAAAGGTGAATAAGAATTGTTATCTCTCAGGTTGCTTCTGACCTAACAGGAAGAATAAAACAAGTAAACCAATTATAATAATAATAATTCAAGGTGGATAACTTAAAGTATGCTAAGAAGTGCAAAATACTATTCAAAACTCCAATCAAACACAAAAGGAGGGGCCGGCCGGTGGCGCAGCGGTTAAGTTCACACGTTCCGCTTCAGCAGCCTGGGGTTTGCTGGTTTGGATCCTGGGTGTGGACCTACGTGCACTGCTTGTCAAGCCATGCTGTGGCAGGCGTCCCAAATACAAAATAGAGGAAGATGGGCACGGATGTCAGCTCAGGGCTAGTCTTCCTCAGCAAAAAGAGCAGATATTGGCAGCAGATGTTAGTACAAAATAGAGGAAGATGGGCACGGATGTCAGCTCAGGGCTAGTCTTCCTCAGCAAAAAGAGCAGATATTGGCAGCAGATGTTAGCTCAGGGCTAATCTTTCTCAAAAAAAAAACAAAACAAAACAAAAAACACAAAAGGATTTCAAAATGTAATTCTGTTATAATAAATTAAAGCCTGATAGTGTGGACAGCGATAATGATGGTAAAGGGAGAAGAAAGAGGAACTGACAAGGATTACACTCTCAGTATATGCCCCAGGAGCATGCTAGGATTTTTACCTTCCAAGTACCATGTTAGATTCTTTAAAGAGTTAGGTCATTAAAATTATTATAATCTCACCAAGTAGGTATTTGCAGCCCTATTTTAAAGGATGAGGAAAGGGAAGCTTAATGCAGCCCGTATTTACAGAGAGAATATTGAGGTAAGAGTCAGTGCTGTTTATGGGAAACTAAAGGTCATAGAGGCACAAGCTGGAAAAATCTCTGTGCTTTTCCTGAGAATCCTGTCCCTTTAAATCAACCCTAATTTTTCACAACTCCTTAAGCCTCCCGACTCCTCTGTGGAGCCTGATAACCAAGGAGCCAGCTTCCTGTGCATGATCTAATCTCCATAAACCCAGCTAAATGAAGTGCATTGTATGGCAGTATTCAGAAATAATATGCAGGCCTAATTATGATATCACCAATTACAGGAGGTAAGAAAAAGATTCCCCCAGATAACGTGCGGGCCTATTGTTTCAGGCTCTGGATTCTGTGTTCCCAGAGGTAATCCCTATGGAGCCATCCTTCTTTACCAGCATCTTTTGTACAACAGAAACAAAAAAACCCGATAACAAACAGATGGAGTTAAATCTCCATTATTTACTGGCTTGATTGGGCCAAAGCACTTCAAAATTTAACATGAACTCAATCAAGCACATTTCTTAGGGGTATATTTGTTGTTGATAAATTTCTCCAATTTTTAAATTCTCTTCTTACACTATTCTGTATTTTCTTACAAGGAAGAAGTACTGTTATATCTAGAAAAACGACAGTACAGCTATTTATATAGATATGTTATTTATTTTTATATAAAGGTTCACCATATGTTTATCAAATGCCAATTGTGTGCTAGGCATACAGTGGTGAACAAATTATTTGCTTCCAAGAAGCTTACCTTCTAGTGAGGGGACAGAAAATAAGCAATAAATATACAATATCAGATAGTGACAAATGCGATGAAGAAAAACAAAACAAATTAAAGGGATAGGGAGTGATGAAGGGAAGAGTATGTGGAAAGAGAGAGAAATTAAGAATAATTCCTATCAATCCATCAACTATTAATCCATTTAGTTCACAGATAGGAATAGAGAAATGGGATTTTTTTTTTTTCAAAGTGGAAAGATTTGGAGATAAGGTGTCCTTTGGCTTAAGCTAATCAATGAGTCTTCTCTATGATATCTCAAAGAACTTGACTGGCCTCTATTTGACACATACAGGATTGTCACCTCCTTTCCAACATTAATAGTAAATTCCTCCTTGTACTGAGCCCAAATCTGTCTCCCTTAGAGTTCCTTGATGGAAGTACATCTATTTCCCAAAAGTTTTGGACTGACCATCTAAAAACAATCATCAAAATCCAGTTTCTTTTTACGCACCTTACGGGTTGCTGTGCATCCTAATGACCAGATTGTGTTTTGCAGATAAAAAGCAGGTGGTACTTATTAAATTGATCCAGATCAAGTTCTACCTCTTCCACAGGCCTGCTACATATTTGACTGTTCGACGGTTCATTCATTCATTCATTCACCAATTCAAATATTCATTAAGCATCTAGCCACCATTAATGACTTTTCTCCTCTAAACTCCAATAGGATTTTACAGCTTGTAACATATAATCCATCTTTGAATATACAGTTATCTCTCGTCTCTTCAACTAGCCTGGAAGGCAAAAGTCAAATTCCCTACTTCAGGACCCATCAGAGGAGATGATTAAATTGTGTTGCCTCGATTTGTGGTGAATAAGCAGGTTAAATACAGTAGTATACAATTTAAAGGCATCCCACTATTATTGCTTTTATGAAGCAAACAATAACTATCATTTATTGCATGTCTACTCAAGAATAAACCAGGTTATTCAGCGAAACATTTAACATACAAGCAATCCTCACAAGAGTCCTGCAGGTTAAGCATTTCAATTCACATTCTAAAACTGTGGAAACTGAGGCTCAGAGGGCAAAGTTAGTTGAGCAAAGGAACGCTGTTAGTAAATGGCAAGGTCAGGATGAACCCAGATCTGTCTGACATAAAATCCATGCACAATCCATAGAGAGAGGAAGCAGATTAGTGGTTGCCAGGGGTTGGGGGAGGGAGGAATGGGGACTGATTGCTTAGGGTACAGGGTTTCCATTTGGGGTGATGAAAGAGTTCTGGAACTAGACAATGGTGATGGTTGTGCAACACTGTGAACGGACTTAATGCCACTGAATTAAAATGGTTAAAATGGTAAATTTTATGTTATGTATATTTTACCACAATTTTAGAAAGAACAAAGCATGTACTCCATGGCCTCCCAATACTCACCTTCCCTTGTGCATGATGACATTTTCATTGTTTCAATCCCTAACCTATTAGACCAACTTTATCCCAGCTGTCCCCTCTCAGAATCAGTAGATCCCAGTTTGTCAGGTTGTTAGTAACTCCATTCCTGCAACTTATGCAAAGTAGGGCCGGAGTTCCTGAGTGGCACCATGGACAGCAGCTTCTGTACCACTTCCTCTTCCTCCTACTGGGAGTCTTATATAGCTGGTAGATCTCCAGGGCCATACCACAACCAGCCCTTTCCAATGACAGCTCCCTCCTTCCAATCTCTTGCTTTGCACTGAACTTAATGCAGGTTAACAGTTTGGTCTGCACCTGACATCCAACATTACCTTCTACTTACACTCCCAAAGTGGAATCTGGTAACTTCCCCTTACTGCGGACTCCTCAGATCATTGACTTGTATCTGCAATCTCGTGACCCATTTTTAGTGACCCAAAGGAATACAGGAGGCTAGACTGATTCAGCCAATGCTGAACTGTGATCTCTTGGTGCCAGCACTGATGATCAAATGCTCTAGAAAAAACAGTCCTTCCAATGAAGTCATACTACAAATGGAGGAAACTGTTGGGGCCAGTTCCAGTCTCCACACCAGGCTGGTGACTGAGAAAGCATTGAAGGCACGATAGGTAATATGTTTCCCACGCCACTGAGGGGAGGGCCCTACTGCCCCATCTCTGTGCCCTAACATTCAAGTGTTGTGGAATTTCCTCAACGATGCTTACATGTAGTCTCTTTCTAGTTGAGGTCTTCTCTGTTCATCTGGAGGCAAGAAGGGATGGGAATTCAAGTTCTGAAATACAATCTAACACTTCATATATTATTTCTACCTTTGGTAAAAATGTTCCATATCATTTGGAAGTTTCCTTTTTTCAGCAGTATAACCATTGGGTTTGTTTCACATACGGTTGTTTGTAAATACTTCCACTGACCAGCTGTGAGACTTAATACAAATCAATTGACTTCTCTGAGTCTCAGTTTCCTTATTTGGAAAATAAAGAGGTTGTATTACTCAAGCTTTAAGATCTCTTTTGTGTCTCATCTATCATTCCCTGACTTGATTGCACCTTTGCTCATTTTCTGCTATACCTTTCTGGTACCTCAGCCACTAAGAGGTAGGACTAGTTTAAAAAAATGAACCATTCCTCCCTACCTCAAAAATTTTGAAACACTGAATCTTCAACTTGACCAAGATGTAACAAATTTCTAACCCTTCCCCACATGCTTTCTGTTCTTCCACCAGCTCTGAAGTTAGTACTTTAAAGATGAAATCCTGTTTAACTGAAAGATTTTCTGGTCACTTCAGGTATCTGTACAACTAGGGATCACCACACA